CTCCAAGTTCTAATTTTTTAACATAAATAATAAGATTTAGTCACAGCTAAAGGTGATAATAATAACAGATATGAGGTGATAATAAGATAGCATTTATTAATTTCACTGTAGCCTTATTCATTATCCAATAGTAGGCTGTGCATTATTAACCCTGTTTTAGAGATTACGAGACAGGAGCCCAGAAAGGTGAAATAACTTCCCAAAGCTGTCAGAGCTTGTTAATGTCAAACCCAGATGGACTAATAAGAAAGTTCAGTTTATTCAAGTAATCCTATTGACTCAAGTAAAAGTTTAGACAGATTTTAATTGGATGCAGAACTAAGCCATAAGTTGGGTCTTAAAATTCAGTATGGTTTTCTTCTATCACATTTATATCTTCATTAGACAAAGGCACTTGCTTAATTAACTGGAACTGGTGTCATCCAAATTCATCCTATTTCTGGTTCTACTTTCCTCGTTTCATTTCAGCTCTGATTGGATCTTAACTAGAGATTCATGAAGTGACTTCAAATCTGTGCAGATCTATCCTGCTAGTGAGAAAGTATCTGTGTTTTTCCACCAGGACAAAAGATCAGACATTAATAGGAGTAAGCACTTCAAAGTGAAGTCAGTCTCAGGTAACCTGATGAGCCCTGGGATGGGTTTAACAGCCTGGAATCCTACTGTAATTCAAGGAGTATCTATATAGTATCTTCCAGGATATTTAGCCTCAATTTTTTACTAAGTTCTCTAAGTGGTTAGATTTACCACCTTTCTACCCTTCATGAGCTCCTAGATCTTTCACCGAAAAGAAGAAACATAGACATGTAGTGATTTTTTTTTTTTTTTTTGGTCTTTTTCTTTTTTATCGGTACTAGGGATCGAACTCATGACTGCCTGCTTGCAAGGCAGGGACACTTATGTCACTGAGCTAACCCCTCAGTCCCAGTAGTGAATGTTTTTAAGATGTATTCTCCCCCACCCCAACATTTATTCTTCAGTTCTATTGTTCTTTTTAGGTTTTGCACAAATAATTCAGTAGGCTACTAATAGAAATGGGAAATGAGGTAGTTTTTGAACTTTTCATGTGTGTTTTACACCTGGACTGTCTTTTATTTGAGTCTGTTCATCTTACGGTTGTGGCACAAGTAGTTTGTACAAGGACGGGCAGTAGTAGTTAAGAGCTAGACTATCGTTTTAATTTTGACCCCACCACTTAACTCTCTGTGTGACCTTAGCCAAGTTATTTAACATTTCATGAGTGGAGGCATATAATTATATTAGTGGATTCCTTCATCCACTGAAATCCTTTAAAGTACAAAGATAATATAAAGAATAAAAAATAATCAATTTATTCTTCCCTAAATTTTTTTAGCTTGTTAGTAATATATAATGACAGTGTAAAAAGATATGAACTATTACACTCTTGTGCATTTGTCAGTTTTAGGACTTTAAGTCATCTGGGATAATATCAGCACTTGTAGGATTTTCTGAAAGAGAATATGAGTCTCACTGTAAATCCAGGGGAATTAGTAGTTTCTCCTGCATGTGTTTTGTTAGTGCTAGCTCTTGAGACTAATTATATTCTTAAAGGACATTTAGACTTTCAAATGCATGTAAATATTTTTAAAAGGAAAAAAGTAAAAAGAGAGTCAAGCATGCAATCATGTCTGATACATAAGAACTATCATTTCATTTAGGAAATATACAGAGAGGAAATAGGGAAAATATCAGGGGATGTTAAAAGATGAAGTTCATATATATGTGTTTTCTTGCATATCTGTAATTGACTCATGTATGTGAAATAAAGCTCTATCCTTACCACCTTGTCATCCCATAAGACACATTTTCTTTTTCCTGTCCTACTTTTCCATTACAATTCGGTCATTTTGACAAGACTCTATTTTTATATAAAAACGTTTAGGACTTGGAGAAGAGCAATGAGAACACAACAGCTTATGATTTGCTGCACTTGCTGCGTACTGGTAAGGATCTAGGTCCACATAATCTAATTAACTTTACCTAGGCTGATTCAGTAGAAAAGAAATTGAAGCATATCAAATCCTGGAGGCCAGAGCAACATAAAAGTGATTTGATTTTAATTTGATTCTAGTGCAGTGTTCCATCATCCAGTTTCTTTCTGAAGTTCCTCCTCATTAAGCTGTTTCCATGCCACTCTATGGCTCCTATTTTTGTACTTGCTTTAGAATTATTAGTTTTCCCCCAAAAGGCTAGTTCCCTGGCTTTATGCTATTTTCAATATTTAAGCTCCCTTTGGGTGACCTTTCTAGCATCTCTCAGGCGGTTGTGAATGTTTTGCCCACCTCTTCCTACTCCCTTTTCCCTTTTCTCTTCTCTAGTAGTCTCCTTTCTACTTTTGTCATCTTGTATTTTCTACAGTCCATATGTGAGCAAAAACATGTGATACTTGTCATTTTTAAGTCTGGCTTATTTTTCTTGATACGATTATCTTCAATTCTATTATTCTGCTACAAACATCATGATTTCATTTTTCTTTATGGCTGAATAATGTTATTTCTCCACCTATCTTTATTTCTGTATCCATCTATACCTAGGCTTGTTCCTTAACTTGACCAATATGTATTGTGCATGATATTCTTTTGTTCTCCTCTGTTCATAGTGGACAGTGGATATTTTTTCTTCCATACCCATGGCTACCTCATTAGTTCCAGTTCCATAACACATTTCCTGCCTAGGTCTAACATCCATCTAATCTGTTGTTTGCATTAAGCCAGAAGTAAAGACTTTAATATGCAAAACCCAATCACATTACCTTGATTATATCTTTTGTTTATTTCCAAGAACTTCCAAAAAGTTAAGAAATTTTAGGTTAGTACAGTATGTAGTGAATGACTTCTGCTCACAGCTCTGATTTTATTTCTCTTCACTCTCTCTTTGCTTTAGCATATTTCCCTTCACTCTCTCTTTGCTTTAGCCCTATGTATTTAATTGTAGCTCTTCTCTGCATTATTATCCCTCATCCAATATACCATAAACACCGAGTCTACTATCTTTTCTCCCTACATTGTCTTTAAAATCTCCATTGTGTCATCATATGCCAAAAGTTCACAATAGGCAGAATAATCTAGTGAGGAACATAAGTTTGGAATTAGGTTTATGATAGCTCAACAAAAACATAGTAAACACCAATTATGTGCTTCCTACCTCCCATCAACTTACAGTTCAGTGAATAAGGCAGAGAAAGAAATCAGCAAGGGATGATGTAGCCCAGTGGGTAAGAGTACATCTTACTGTCAACAACCATATATACCTGTCCTAGTTGATGAACTCTGAAGAGTCAGTTAGCCTCACAAACATTGTTCTTCTCTGTTTGTCAGAATAAAAAGATCCACCTTATAAAAAGCTACTGTAAAAACTAAGTGAAATGATTTTATTTTTTAAATTAAATACTGGTACATTTTAGATATACATAATGGTCATATTTATCATAGGGAATTTATACCGGTACATGATATATTTTGATTCCTCTTTTTTTTTTTTTTTAAATCCCAATCCCCTCTCCTCCCTAGACCCATCATCCACTTCTTGTTTACAAAGTGCTGTTCTTATGGTTTTACTCAGAAGAATTCCTCACCTGACAGCAGTGGAGGATGGTAGTGGTGCCAACAGCAACCACAGAGCCTTGCATAGCTGGGCAGACAGGAATGTTAGTGAAAGCCCAGAGAAGGTCACACTGCTGTGCAGTGGCAAGGGTCGTTACATCAACTCTTCATTCATAAAAATGAAATCAATACTAAAGAAATGAAGTTGTGAAAATGAAATGAAATCTTTTAAGAATCTGGCATATTTTTTTCATCTTATTATTAATTAATTTATGTGTTTATATTGATTATTTCTTTATGTTGTTATATAACTTGTTGGGACTTTGAAGACAGAGAACTGTAATGTGAATGTCATCTATGAGGTTTTAATCACTTAAAATTTAGTTATTATCCAGAAACCCTTGACTAATACAAAATTGGAAAAGTTTATTCATTCAAAGTAATCCCAGCGTGCATGTATCTTACTCATGCCCCCAAAAAATCTTGTAAACCAATAGTACTGAGAGTTAAAATGTCCAGTCTGATGCTAGACATTTATAAGGTGACTCAGATGTCACTGAGAATGATTCTACAGAGACATGAAAGAATAACACACCCATATCTGAATCTATAATTTATACCTGTCACAGAAATTAAACGCATGAAAGTCTTTACAATAATTTTAGGAGAAATTGCAAAGACTACTCCAGTGATGAATTAAAAATTAGCCTATAGACTGAACATATTATTCCAGAGATCCTCAGCCATGATTTCTAGGAATCTAACAAGCAAAATCATACTGAAGAGAAATGGTAATTGGAAAAAACAGATGATTGTTTCTATTTTAGTTAATTTTCCACTGCTGTTACAAACACCTGAAACTATGTGATTTATAAAGGACAGTTAATTTAGCATTAAGTATGGTCCTTTTTTCTGAATCATAACATGATAGAGTATCACATTATGAGATGGAATAAACTTGCCAGAAAGTGCTCAGTTTTGTAATACAACCACTGTTAAAATAACTATTAATCTATGAATGGATTAATATATTCATGGGTCAGAAGCCTTATGACTCATCTCTCAAAATTTCAACTTTAAAAATTTCCTACCCTTCAACATTGTTTTGATGGGGCCAATTTTCTAAAATATGAACTTTGGAGGACATATTCAAGCAATAGTAGTTTCTATCACACATCTTTGTGCAGCAGAGGGATTTAATAAACATACACTCATATAAAAAATCATGCTGTTTAGGAGAATCACTCTAGCACTTTTTCCATTTCTGATATAGTTGAATATGTTATCACTGAGCGCTTGAATTGCTAGATAGCTCTGGATCACAATTTCAACATGATGATATTTTATCTCAGATACAGCCTATTTAAAAATCACAATGTGGTTGCAGAGTAATTAAGATAAATTATTAAATTATTTAGTTTATTCATTGAAGAGTCCTGAACCAGTGATTTATTATGTACTATCTTAGACATTAGGAAATGCTGCTATAAATACTGTCTTGTTCATACCCTAGAGCTAATCATTGCCCGCTGAAGAAGACAGTTACATGGACATCCCAACATAAAGAGATAACAGAGTTCTGGGAAATTTCAAGAATTGAAGTTACAAACTTTATCCAGGTAAATTTTCAGGATGCTTTCCTATATTTTTGAACCTAATCTGAAGAAGTAGTAAAAATATGCCTCAAAAAGCATAGTATTCTAACCTTTGGAAAGAAGATATACCAAAATGTGAGGCTATCCAATAGGCTTTTGTATTTGGGGAAGTATAATGGCTCTAGATAGCAGAATGCACATAGAAAACAAAGTTAAATGCTGGGAAAGCAGGCAGACTGTGCTATTTATAGTTGTGACTGTAAGCTTTTTCCACAGGGTTGAAGGGATGGACTAGGAAAGGCAGACAGTGCTGTTTAGTTCACTTGTGGTGTGAGCTAGATAGCATATGGTACTGTCTGAACTAGGAAGAGCAGTGGGCTGGAGAGCTGTAGAACCCAAGTGTTAACTGGAGGCCTTCTTGCCTTATAATTTAGCTGGTATAAACTAGCCCCATAACCGAGTCCCATTCTTGCCTCTGTTGAAAGTCTAAATCCTGCTCTGACACTTCAGTTAAGATCTTTGTATGGAGGGATGGAAGATCTCGCCTTCTCCTGAACTCTCTATTTAATTACCATCACTAAAGTTTCCTCACAACCAAATTCTCATAAAGTTAATAAGCTTAATTTGAGTTATTTTGAAAAGAATGTTGTTGTGTAGTTAGGGTACACCCAATGGCCAGGTTCAGGCTTTTGACCTCAGCCTTTCATCTGCTGATGTGTCAGCACACGTTATGTGGCCTGCACAAGCATAGTAAATAGGCAAACAAGTAATCAGCTTTATAGAATGGTTTGCTAAGCTGCAAGCTTTGTGTGACACCCCGTATAAGGCAGTGGGAGTTTTTGATGAACCTTCCTGGCCTTGAAGGGTGGCAGAATAGTCATCAGTCATCAGCTGACTTGGGAACAAATACTTGACCCACGTGTGTTTTTTATCTGCTTCCTGTTACTAGTTCTTATTCCCGCCCCCACCCCAGCTTGATTATCTAGTAAGAGATGTCAGGCAAGTCAGATGTCTCAGTTTATGTAAAATCTTTTCATCAAATACTAGTTGCCCTGTGACCTGTGAGGAACTGAGCATATTGTGTTAAAACAAAACAAAACAAAATAAAACAAAACACCTCATCTCTGCCCTGCTGCAGTTTACAATCTTGCAAGAGAGCTTAATCAAATGAATACAGTTACATAGATGACCATAAATAAAAAGTCCTGTCAGGAGAGGAGTCACAGAAGTCCCCTCCTGCCCCGTGATGGCTGAGCTGCAGTCTGAAGGACAAGTAAGCAGCCAGAGGAAGGAGGAGACACTAGAGTAGGAAGTTCTGCTGTGAAAGGTTCCTTCTGGAACTGAAGGGCAGAAGATAGAACTAGAGTCTACTTCAAGATGCCAATCCCAAATCAGCAAGTTTAGTATTTAAGAGCCTTAGTGCTCCTAACTAAACTCTCATTCAAAGGGTCAGCATCAGTGTCGTTCAAAAGATTCCCTGGTCTTCTTAATGAAATAACTTATGCTTTCCATTAGGAAGTTCTAAGTTGAATAAAATATGCTAAATTAAAAAAAAATAGCAGGAAAAATTTGCTAAAGACCCATTATATGATGAGTTCACCATTCTAGAGGATATAACAGTGAGGAAAATAGACACAAATCACTGACTTTGTGGAAAGTATTCTCTAGGAGGAAAAAAGTGAAAGTTGTAATTTGAATTTTAAATTCCCCCCACTCCCAAGGACCATGAGGTATTAGTTGCCAGCCTGTGGCACTGTTGGAAGGCAACGGGACTTTGAAGAAGTGGAGGCTGAGGGAAGGAAGTTACATCACTGAATGTGTGTCCCAGGAGGACACTGAGACTCTAGCTTCCTCCATTTTCTCTCGTTTTGCTTCTCGTTGCCATATGGTGAGCTGCACTGTCATGCTATGTGCAATGAAGGGAAAATGATATGAAGATACTACACAAAGCATCCAGAAGGAACTAAATCATTTGCAGAGGCAACTTTGGAAAAAAAAAGACTTAAAAGAACTGGTGAGGCTGTCCAGACCCTATCCAGTCAGAACAGAAGGTATTTTAGGCAGAGGGAAGGGAACAGGGATACTGCATTGGAGGTAGGGAAAAAACCAGGATCTTTGAGGATGAGAGAGGAAAGAGAGGTATCAGAGGTTGAGGGAAGAAGCCAGAAGAGTAGTACTTGTGGTGGTCTGTCTAGAGCCTCCTATTTGTACAATAACTGTAGCTCTCTCATAAGAAAGAAAGCTGCCAGAAGACCTACATTAAGGAAAGTTCTAAACTGAATCCCACTTCCTAAGGATCATGTTTTTCCACTGCTGAACTGTGTGCAATCAAGGGAAGTCTCTTAAGTAAACTCACATGGAACTTTCTGTATCCAGCTAAATGAGTAATCGCTAGATCCCTTTTTACACAAAAAGAGGAAAAACAATCTCTGAAGAACACCTCGCTAAATCACCAATTTCGCAGGAATAAGAGAGTCTTAGAACTTCTTGAAGCAGGAGATGCTGGAGAAAACACGAGAGACTTTAATTTACAACAAACACTTTTCCCAAGAATTAATTTTGTGGGTGAGTTTAAGGTCTCCATATTTGTCTTCGCCTGCTTCTTGTCTTTCTGCTTCGAGGCAGCTACCCTGTATTGTTTGTCCAGTGTGTCATGCGAGGAACTGCATTAGGGAAACTAATCACTAAGGAAAACAGTCACTGGTTTTAGACATTTTGTGATTAAGTGATTAATATCTGATGTGTGTCATCTAGTTCCACATTGTGAGGAGACATCCTCTAGTCTGATTAATCTTCACCTGCTCTAAGAGGCCTTCTAAAAGGCTAGGAACACCCACCAACCACCTTTGTAAATCATGCCTATTGTCAGTTTCCCAGCATGCTGGATTTTGGACAAGAGTTCTCCATCTTCTTGTTCATCTGGATTTTTGAATAAAGTCATATTGCCTGCCTCAGCATTCTACCTCTCAGCTGGGTGGTTGCACTGTGTGGCAAACAGCCAACTTGGATCACTGATTCATAACAGCATTTGTGAATGAATTATTGAAATACAGAAGAGAGAGTGAAGATAAAGCCCATCCATGGAGCAGGTTTGTCCAAACCTGTAATGAGAAAGCTGAGCTAGAAGAAACCAAGTGTTTGCGTTGCCTCTCAATTTTTATCAGTCTTTTCTCATTTTTAGTGTCTGGACTTTGGTCATCTTTCCGATGAGTCCTTGAAGTTGTTTTTGTGATTGCACTTCACTGGTGAATAGGAGACACTAACTTCAAAACATATTAATACTAATATTTCCCTCTTTCTTAAAACAACACTTTCTTTGCTTCTGAGAGAATGAGAAAACTACATAGGAGATATTTATCATCATGTCCCATTGGCAGAATGTAGCTTAGTTTAGGGAACTCCCTGACTCAGGAATCTATGTCTCTCAAAGATGCTGTTCTGGAAGGCTATAGAACTCATGCTTTGGGCTCAGTGTGGTGCCAAAGTGAAATAACCTTGCAATTATGTCTAGAGATCTTAAGCCATTTAAGCAAGACCCATACGGGTCTTCTATTCTGTGACTCTGTTGGGTGGAAGGTCTCAGGCACTTTTGACCAGGTTTTGTAATATTTTGGATGTGGCTGTAAGAGAAGGATAAATCTTAACATAAAGTTGGATTACATTTTCAACACAGAAAATTACCTCCTAAATTATGTATTATATAATGAAGTGCACTCTTGATGTAATTAAAGTTTTCTAATTCACAGATATATGTCACTTTTCATGTCACTGAACATTCAAGGGCCTCTAAATGAATTAAAACTAGAATGATATGATTTTCCTAACAATTTTACTTGCCCTTTACAGGAAAGCCGGCCTGACAAGGCATTTGAAGACCTCCTACAAATGTTAAAACCTGCTTATTGTTGATAAAGGAATTTCAAAAATCATATTAAGTACACCATGGGGCTGGAAAAAAAAGAGTATTAAGTCAACACAATAAAAATCACCTCCTAATTCAGTTCATAAAATTCATGTCCCACATATTGTGAGATAACATACTTAATCATCAAAAAGTGAATTAGATCACTAAAGTTTTAATCATTCATCAGTCACATAAAACACTGATATATTGGTTTCTCTATCAAAATGTATGGTTCAAAATCACATTTTAATGTTTATATATATATATGGGCTGTAACTCAGTTTTGTTTGTCTTTTTGATTACTGATTGATTGTTCTTATGTAAGCTTGGTTCATTTTAAAACTACTGTGAATAATTAGGTAGTTTCATGATAAAAATGAAGGTGAAATGTAGAGATAAAAAAGTAATCTACTCAAAATACATAATTATATGTTCAAGCATGACAATCTTCGAAAAATGGCCACTATGGGGTCTGATAAAGATTTGTGCTCCCAAAGTTCCAAAGGATTCTTATCCAACTTTAAATTTCTCCAGGATATTGGAAATCCTCTTGAAAACCTATCTCAATTGTCAAATATTGTTGCCTTCCATTCATTTAGAAATGATTTCAGAACTACACATTTTGTAGTAAGAGCTTTTAGATGGTTCTTTAGACATGAATTTATTCATACAAGTTTCATTGAGCATCAGTAAGATGTGGTGACTCATGCCAGTACTTCCAGCATTCGAAAATCTGGCTTAGCATTATCAAGAGTTCAAGGACAGCAAGTTTGACACTAGTCTGGCTGCACGGTGCAACCCTGTCTCAGAAAACAAACAAAAAGGGTCACTGAAAATGCACTGTAAGAGAGAAGTTGAGAGGCGTTAGGGAATTAAGGCAACCATGACCCAGTCATTACCCTCGGGGAGTGTATTAGCTTTCTCATCACTGAGATACAAGCCCCATCACCTAGGATTTGAAGGAGGAGAATTTTAATTTTCTTGGGGTCTCAGTTCATGATTGGCTGTCTCATAGGCAAGGCATCATTGACAGAAGTGTGTGGTGGAGCAAAACTGTTTCATTCATGGTGTTCTGGAAGCACAATAAGAGAAAAGGGCCAGGGTGGATAGGGTAAGGGCC